ATATATATATATATATGTGTACAGTATAGGCTCCCACACTCTCAGTCTTTAAGTCTCGCTTGAAGACCCACTTCTATTCTCTTGCCTTTAACACTGTGTGATTTGTTTTGGTCCGGTCTGTACTCTACACTGTTGGCTGTTTTAGTTAGCTCAGAGACGTTTTGACAAATGGCTACATACTGGTGGAATCAAGCCTCCATTTCTCTCAATGGAGGATGACTGGTCTAACCACTGAGCAGTCTCTGCTTCCATTTTCTAACACAGTGCCCTTCTGTCATACAAGTCCTTGGTGATCACCAAGCTTTTGTCTCTTTCATTTATGGCAAATGTTGTGATCTATAATCCTCTGTACACCTCTGCCTTAGCCTGTCCAGCTCCAGACACTCACAGGCATTCAAACCTCCTCCACAGCCCTTTTTTACTCAATTCTAAAGCCAGATCTCTTTGATATGTAAATTGTAGAACAGCCCTTACCTGAAATGGAGTGAAGCTATTTCTTCAATTTCAGATCCAAATTCTGATCGTGAAACAAAAACCTACTTCACATTTTGACTGGCAGCTGTCAGCACAAGTCTCTAACCTTGGTACCTGTAAATGTTTCCTTGGATGGAAAATGTGCAGTCCATAAGAAGCATTTTGACTCTTAAGCTTTGTAAATTAATGAAGAGGCTATCAGAATGAGAAGTGAGGTTGTAGAAGAGCCAAATCCTTGGAAATAGATGGCAGGTGTTGGAGAGGAAGATGAGAGGCTTGAGAGTTGTGCAAATGCTTTGTTTTTGGACTTGTTTTTTTCCATGCACATCTTTTAGTTGGATGCTAACTACAGTCTTATCTCCTACTCCCCCATTCTCTATGATTTATTGCAACATCCACTGTAGTCTGGCCCACCTTCTTGAACAGATGTTTATCACAAAATTACACTGCACAGAAAAAAATAAATAAAACGGAAAAGCACAAGAGCCTTGATAAAGAAGCAGTAAGAGTGGCTAAATTGCTGGAAATGTCATAAAAACATCCACCACTCGTATTTACTTTGACATCAGACAGTATTTTCGATTGTGTACATACACTTTGTATAACTTTACCTATAACATGAATGGTCAACAATGCCAATACTATTTGTCACCATGAAAAATGCCCCTACGATCAGAAAAATAAACTCACACATGTCTATGGTTCAACAAATTTCCATGTGTCTATACACGCAACCATCACCTATTGTTTACTCTTAGACAAGGTATACCTGTCTCTAGAAAACACACACTGTTTATATCCTACACATTTCCAACGTTGACATACGAGACACATGTGCAGCACATGATCTTTTGTAATTTTGCCTTAAAAGAAGAATTTGCTTCCTCACAAATTACAACCCCCCTTTTTTCCTTCTTAAGGAAGCATGGGTGCAAATAATGACTTCAACCAGAGCACAGTGCCATTGCGAGCACGAGGGATAATCAAAGCCTTATAACTGGTTTAATTATACAGAAGATATGGCACTATGAAGAGCACACTATAAAAAGTTTCCACTGCTGAAAAGACACTCAACGTGGAGTCTTTCTAAAAGCATTTGGACTTTAAGCCAAACGGATTATATGACAGCAGCCATAACACTAGATACCCCATTTTGCATCAAATTAAGCGTTTGAGTTTCATCCTTTTCAAACAACTTTTCTTTAGTACACGGCTTCAATAATTTATTTCCTTTATTATAAAGCCTAACACGTGTATGTGTTTGTCTGTTTTTGCCACTCTGACACTGCAGTTAACATGAACATGAACTCAGATTTTCTTCGCCTCATTACCAGAGGCACAAACAATATTTAAAATAAAACAATCGTTAGCTAGTGTTTAAATAGGTATTGATTGACATTGTTTGAGGTTTCTGGAAAGATGTACTAAAGTGCATGAAGTGCATATCAAAAAGCTGGAGCAGGACAGGAAAATAATGTGACATGGGGGCCCCCCATACTATATTTACTCTGACCACCAAGAAATCAGAGCAGTTTCTTCCTGCTCATTCAACCTGTTCATTCCTGTTGCTTATTGATGGAGAAAACACTACAAGCTCCTGTATTGTCAACAATCCTGGAAATTTTTAAGTTGAACAAATGGATTAAGTTTTGCTTCAATGGAAAAATACTTGAGAACATACAGTAGCATTTAGAATATTCACTATTAAACAGAATTTTACATGCTTCAATAAATCTGGACATTATTATGGATAATTCAGGAGACACGTTACTTTTTCTGTTTATTCATAAAAATTGTACCTGGCAACAATTTGGATCCAAACTGACAAATTTGTAACACCCCCCACCCCCAACCTCCTCGCCTGCAAAAAAAAAAAAAAAAAAAGAAAAATCCATGAAAAACTGTGGATGCCCATAGTTTACAATACACAATTAATGTTATAAACGTTATAAAACCTGCACAGATACAATCACAACCACTCAATACAAGCCTATTTTCATGTTTTCACCTAACGATGCCACCTCTAAATGTTTCCATTGTTGTGAAACTAAGATTCACATTCCCAGAGATCATCTGCAGAGACAAGATATGGACAAAGAAAAAAATATTGTTAGTTAAAGCATGAAGATTAAATAACTTTCTGTATGCATGTGCTAGAAAAGGATAATCTGTGTGTGTGTTTGTGTCTTTGAGTGGGAGGAAAGACCATGAAGTAGATGGGAGGGGATGTAACCTGCCTCACTAAAGGTATAAATTGCACACGTTTTTCAGCACATTGACAAAAGAAGCATTTTCATGTGTTGAAGGCAACTCATTCACCAGCAAAGGTATCTTAAATGTGAGTATATATATAAATGTGCTTCTTGTTTCTTTTTTTAAATTACAGAGTTAAATTGTTTTACACACTGATACTAAAGAAACTTTTTTTGATGTTTGTAAAGCATAAAATTATGATAATCTCTAAGTTACTAGAGTAATATTACAGTATTGTATTTCTTATCTCTGTTGTCATCACTTAATGGACGAGTGTATTATGTTTGAAAAATAAAGACATCAAAACTAAATCAGTCATTAGCCTAACATTTATCAATCAACAGAGTCAATGACTAAATAACTTTGCAAAATGACTCTTTAATGTTGCTCTAAATAGAACTTTTATTTAGAAATGTCTTGATATGACGTAAAATGTGTTCATTCAACATTTATTTCTACAGGTTAGACTCATTGAGCCTCGATGACTCATTTACAAGAGAGAAAAGAAGGCATATAATATGAAATAAAAAATCTGCTACATTATGAAGCGATATAAAATACTAAAAACAGGAACATGTCTGCATTGGTTTTTGCCATAAACAGCAGTTGTTTGAAGCCACTTAGAGAGGTCAAGGTTGAGAGCTTCAGATATTTTTGCAAAATGTTCCAGGGAACAGGAGCGGAGTAGGAGAAGGGCCTTTTGTCTAGTTCAGTCCTCACTGAGGGAACACTGCAGGTAATAATGTCCTGAGAGCGCACGCTGTAGCTGCACTCACACAATGACATGTAGGAGGAGATGTATGAAGGCAGCAGACCTAGAAGTGATTTGAAGATGAAAATGTACCAGTGAGAGAGTCTGCATGAAGTTAATGATGACCAGTTAACCAGTGAATACAGGGTAAATAGTGGGTACGGTAGTTACAGCCAGTTATGATTCTTAGCGCACTGTGATAGACAGTGTCCAACATCTGCAGGGTGCTAGCAGGAGCGTTCATATAAATCATGCCACCATAGTCAATGGAGGGAAGAAAAGTCGCAGTTACAAGGCGGTTCCTTGCATTCAGAGTTAGACAGGATCTGTTTCTGAAAAAGAACCCAATTTAACTTTCAGTTTCTTTACCAAGTTTTGAACATGGAGCTTAAAAGAGAGATGCGAATCGAACAAGATACCCAAATTTTTGTAGGAATCGACAAACTCAATAGGAGCACCATTTGAAAATGCAATCAAGAGAAGTACTGCTGGGACCGACTTCCTGTTTGTAAACAACATCGCTTTGGTTTTGTCTGTGTTTAGTACAAGTTTGAGACGGAACAAATCTGACTGGATGATGTCAAAAGCAGATTGCAAAAGCTGGAAAACCTTAACAACTGTTTTAGCTCGACAGTAAATAACTGTATTATTAGCATATAAATGCAAGGAAGAATCAGGGATGATCTGACCACATTATGTAGATTGTGAAGATGGTGGGACCTAAGAGTGAACCTTGTGGTACACCATTGTTTACAGTTAGATACCTGGAAGAAGTACCATTATGTTGAACACATTGCTCACTTACTATACACCATCAGCCTTGTTCCCAGTCCTAGAAAATGAGTGTGCCGAATAAATAAAAAGTGGATACTGATTAAAATGAGTGATAATTGATTGATACATTTGTTACTCCACAGGCACCAGGAGGCTGTGCCAATGGGGCAGATTACATCTAAACGGAATGTACTGACCCGAGGTGTCCGCTTCTCGACTAATGAAGAAGGACCTCCCAGGTACTCATCGCACCACTTTGACAGTGGCTTACGTCGGAATAGTGACCTTCAAGTTCATTCAACCACTGTTGTCCCTGATGAGGAGTCAAGGTTTGTACTAACTGCCAAAGTCAATTTCCACCATCTTAAATAGAAGTTATAATTTGCAAGACTGTTATGTTGTTTATTTATTATATGTAGGTTAACACAGGGTCAACAATGCAATAGAATGTTCAGGATGAGAAGAACCGATTTGACTTGCTAAAAACAAAACAACGACAAAAAAACAAGAAATACTAAAGCATGCAATAAGGGTACAAAATAAAGTACCAAAAAGTGGAAAAATAAATATAATATTTACAAGGTCCAAAAGAAACAGTAAACAACAACATGGTAGAATATAAAAAGGCAAGTAGGATGAATGTGTATAAATATTTCACCAATAGGAATATTAGTTTAAATTCACATGACATACAGTATATTGCACATAAATAAAATATCGGTTACTCCACTGGCTGTGTGACGTTATTGCATAGGTAGTGAGTAACACTGAGATGAACTGAATTATTATGGTGCAGCAGCAATAAAAATATTAGGTGTCAAAGATGTTTATGATTTGGTAAACCTGGGTCAGAGCGCAAAGGCACGTAGACTCGTATGGCCCCTCTTGCAGGTTGTGGACCCACAGGAAGGCAAACTCATGTTGTTGCTCGTTCGGGTTGAGCCCAACTGGGCTACATGTGTAGAGACCCGGTTATCCGGCGCTTGCCCATGAGCCCCTCCCCAGGCCTAAATCCAGAGTGGGGCTCTGGTAACCCACGTCCAGGCAAGGGACACTGAGCGTGTTGCATTTTACTGTTCGTAAGAGTCTTCAGAATTGCTCTTTGTGCAGCACGTCTAATCCCCAAAATGTCCCCCGGGCGCTTTCAATAGCTGCCCACTGCACCACCTGGTGGTGGATGGGTTAAATGCAGAGACTAATTTCGCCATTGTATGGAAACATACAGTGCTGACATTGTGATGACATTATTATTATTATTATTATTTGTCTGCCCTGTCATTTAGGACCAATCTGCTTTGTGAGACTCTAAAAGGGGCAATAATTGCCCCCGACTGCATAACTCCTAGTGTCATTCAGGCACACAAACTCCTCCGCCATGAAAAGGTGGCAAGTCAAGGAGGATTAATCACATTTTCTCAACTAAACCAGTAGTTATGCTCTCCATCTTATATTTAGACATGTATTTCAGACTATTTTATGCAACATCACACTGCACTGATATTGCTTTTTTGTTTTGTTTTTTAATTGTGAAATCAATATCAATTTTCTATTGGGGGAGGTGAAAGTTATTCTTTTAAGTGCAGCTTGTAAATTATTCCACAAAGTAGCATACATTTTTTCCCACTACTGGTCTTTAAAACAATTTGTTTGTTAATGTGAACAAAAATGCAAATAAATAAATAAATAATAAATAGGATCAGAGCAAAAAATTAGAATTGAGCATTAAGACCTGCAGTGTGAACGTATTTATTCTATTATTGACAAATGCTCAAATAAACCATCCAGCTGTTAATAATCTGAATGTTTAATCAGGGAAAGACACATATTATTACAATAGGAGTTATCAATGAGTCACATGTAATCTATTTTAGTCTTGTGATATTTTTCAACCCTTTGAAAATGAACTTTCTACTTTTAACCAGCAGTACATCAGAGCATCGCAGCTCGGGGCCAGAGTTGTTCAGATCCTCCGTTTACAGCACCATGGACCTGGTGCCCCAGCTGGAGCATTACGCTAATTCCGTTCCATGTCAGATGATAAGAAACAGGCCGTCTCTTGAAACCCTCCGCAAGACATTTGAAGCAAGTGGCGTTTATTATTTTTGACTTTTGTTTATTAAAATTTAGGATTTTTTTCAGGAGATGCTCGAACAAATAGCTAATACTAATTTAACTAAACAACGTCCAATACAATTATAGAAAAATCTGTTCTGTAAGTTATGAGTCTGAGTTATGAGTATCCTTTTAAAGTTTTTAATCATTTTAAGATTGGGAACTAGTAAGTTTATATGAAATGTGATAAATAATATATGTAAATAAAGCTGTACAGGTGATGTTGTCTGTATTCTCACTGAAGCCCAGTAATATTTTGGAGCAGGATTAACCACAACTAATTACTTCATGATAATGTTTGCTGACAGTTATTAATCTTAGTAATGAGTGTTCAGACTGCAAAAACAAATACGTGTATATTGTATATATTTTTTTCTCTTACATTATACCTAATGGCCATTTTGTCATAAAAAAATAATAATTATAAACAATTTCCACAGTTAAATTGTAAAAACTACGTGGATCTCAAACTGAGCAATTAATTTTTTTTTGCTGGTAACAATTGCCTCATTATAGGTGGTGGAGACAGGTATTAATGGAAGAACCACCTCAGACTCGAGCAGCCAGTCAGCACCAGATCTTGGAAATGAAGAGTCCCAAGATCCTCCAGAGAAAACTCCGATTAGATTTGGTTGGGTCCTTGGAGTCATGGTGAGCTTGTCTACTGTAACAATCTTAAATAATTCTTAAACGTATCACAAAAACTTGCTTATAATTGGGTTAAAGCCTTAACTCTGTAGCTATCACATCACCATCACACAGCTACAGTAATCCCTCACTACTTCACGGTTCGGTTTTTCGCGGATTCGCTCTATCGCTATTTATTTTTTAAATAAGAGTGGACATGACACAATCAGCATGGCATTTTTATTTAAAATGAGTTATTTTAAATTATTTAGCACATGCTGCATCTTTGTGCAGCCCACAGCTGCAGAAAAAGCTTCCTCCTGCACCTTTGTGCACACTGTTGTATATATGTGGACACTCCATTGAGCACTGAATCATATGTCGACGCCCTTTTTAATGTGGCAGAAGTGACGGTCATTTAATGCAAAGAAATGGACAGAACGTCATAAAGCACTGTTCTAGAAAGTGTTTTAAGTTGATGCCTGTCATTCGCACACACTAATGGAAAATAAACAGGCACCAAAAACAACATTTATAACTTTTATATAACTTTTAATTTTAAAAGTTATATAAAAGTTATATATACAGTATATATATATATGTTCATTTATTTATTTTTTTCGTTTGTCACAGGTTCGTTGTATGCTCAATATTTGGGGGGTCATCTTGTTTCTCCGGCTGTCATGGATCACCTCTCAGGCAGGCATTTGTACGTTAACTCTTATTTATTTTTTTCTTTTACATTAGGTTCTTTAAAATACTATTGTCTGCCTCCCAACATTAAACATATTTCTGCTGCTTTATCCACAGATGTGTTGTTTGATAATTGTATTGCCACAAAGGTGCAACTGAGTTTCATCTTAGGTCAAAATGAAATCTGGAAAATATATAAAAATTTAAAAGAAAGAAACAGTTGAAATCTTATTTAATATGAATAGATTCGGTAGTCTCTGTTAGTTTTGAAACGTGTGGATTCTGATAATCCTGGAGTGACACAGCAAAACCAAAAAGCCACAGTAAAATGTCAGTGGCTTCACTATGCTATTCATTTATAGATTATCTGAAAAATATTGCCTGATAATGGAAACATTTTTTAAATGGAGATCTAGCGAGATCTGTTACCATTAGGATTATGTGTTGGAGATTGGCTGAATCCAAATTTTAACTGAATATCTAAATATTTACTGATGAGTATACCTTTTTTGTTTTTGTTGAGGTTATTTAGCTCTAGCACCACTTGGACTTCAAGTTGACTAAAAGTTTCAGTTGTAGATGTGATTCAGTAATTGCTTTTGAAAAGTTTTAAGTAAAGTCTGTCCAGTGGTTCTTGATATATTTTGTGAAAAGACAGACTGAGTATAAAAGACTGCCTGTCCAGGAGATTGGAGACCAGTAAATCTATTGGTGGGGGTGTTATCTCCCCACTGATCTCTCTTTTGGCAGTGCCTGGGTATACATGTTTCCAACAGCAAATTTATAGAGATTTAATTTGGATTTTATTTCTGTAAAACATAGATGTTTCCATGTGATTCAATCCACATGACTCCCTTGTTTACTTGTGCACCTACATTTTAGGTTGTTGTTGCTAAAACCACAACTAAAATGCAAAAGCCAATCTTGATTATGTCTGATATTTTTATTTTCTTCCTGACAGTATTGACGTGTGTCATAATTTTAATGTCTGTGGCGGTGACATCTGTGACTGCGTTATCCATTTCTGCCATTGCCACCAATGGGAGGGTGTTCGGAGGTGAGTCTTTCTGGAATGTCAGGAACCAACTATCTGAAATTTAAAAAAATGAGAAGAAAAATCAAATTTGCTTTTGTAAAGAGAGGTTGGATGACTCACTTGCCAACCAATTTGACCCCTGGATACATGTAATTTAGTAAATCATCTCAAATGAACCAAATAATGCCCAAGCCTCACTGATCTTTTATATTTTGAAGCCAATATTTTATTGTAAATTATTTTAATGACGAGTGTTGTCTGGTCTAAATTTCCTATATAGGAGTCACAGGTCAAACTTTAGAGTCAGAGTCAGAGATTCTTTATTGTCATTCGCACCACATGTGGTACATGTGGTGGAGTGAAATTATGTACACAAGGTCCCAGTTACATCCAACATTAAAATGTAAAAGAAAAACAATGATAACATCTAAGATATGAACTAAGAAAAACATCAACTAAATATACACTAAAGCACTAATAACATAAAAACATTACATTGAACAGCAGCACGAACATGAGCATGAGTCTGTGTGAACATATGAGCACGCATGAACGCTTCAACATTAAACAGAATAGCAGCAACATGAAACAGATCAGCAGCAACATTGAAACAGATCAGCAGCAACATGATGTAATTTTTCACAGTGATTTTTCTGGTTAGAGATTCACGAGTCTAACAGCTTCAGGGTAGAAGCTGTTCCTCAGTCTAGTGGTTCTAGACTTAATGCTCCTCAACTTCCTCCCTGAGGGGAGTGAGGCGAAAAGTGTGTGCTGGATGAGTGAGGTCCTTCATGATGCAGGTGGCCCTCTTCCTGCATCTGGAGGTGTAAATGTCTGTGATGGTGGGGAGACTGACTCCAACAGACTTCTGTGCAGCCTTCACCACTCTCTGCAAAGCTTTTCTTTCTGCAGCTGTGCAGTCTCCATGCCACACCTGTAGAAGGAGGTGAGGACTGAGCTTCCCAGACCAGCTCGTCTCAGCCGCCTGAGGAAGTAGAGTCTCTGATGAGCTTTCTTGATCAGGCTGGTGGTGTTGTTGCTCCAGCTGAGGTTGTCATTCATGTGTACACCCAAGTACTTGTAGCTGGAGACCACTTCCACCGCAGATCCTCTTATGTTCAGGGGGGAGTAGGGGTGTTTGTTCCTTCTCAAGTCCACAATCATCTCCTTTGTCTTCTTCACGTTGATGTGAAGGTTATTCTCTTTGCACCAGCTCTCCAAGTGTTCCACCTCCTGCCTGTAGCTGGACTCATCATTGTTTGTGATGCATCCAACCACCGCTGTATCATCTGCAAACTTTACAATTTTACAGCCTGGATGGGTAGCTGCACAATCATACGTGAGCAGCGTAAACAGGAGGGGGCTCAACACACATCCCTGAGGAGAGCCAGCGATGAGGGTTATGGTGGAGGAGGAAAAGTTGTGGATCCTCACTAACTGTGGTCTGTTTGTTAAGAAGTCTAGTACCCAGTTGCAAATGGAGGGGCTTAGTCCTAGTGTGAATATTTTGTCCATCAGGGTTTGGGGGATCATGGTGTTAAAGGCAGATGTGAAGTCCACAAAAAGCATACGGACGTTAGAGTCTTTCTGCTCCTCTGCTTACATTTACATGTAAGAAATTCAATTTTCCAAAACTTCTTGCAATTGGTGAATTAGTGGTAAAGTCTTTGGTTATACATGTGAGAGGATGTGTCTGAAACACATAAGAACTGATTTTTCATTGTTTATTTTACATAAAATACATTTTTTGTACCTTGTGTTTTTTAAATGTTTGTTAGCATTTTTAATAAGAGCTTTACGTGTAAAATATTTTCCAGGTGGATCGTATTTTATGATCTCCAGAACTCTTGGTCCTGAAATTGGAGGACCGATTGGGATGGTTTCGTCTTTTGGTAATGCACTGGCATGTGCACTCAATACAGTTGGTTTTGCAGAGGTTGTTCGAGATCTAATGCTGGTATGTCCTTTTTTTTTTGTTGTTTTTTAAAACTGGGGGAAAATTATTATATGTAAAATTTATTCCATGTACTGTATAAAGAAAAGCATATTATATTGAACTTAACACTGTGTTGTTTAGCATTGCCTTACAATTTTACATACCGTATTTTTCAGATTATAAGGCGCACTTAAACCCCTTTAATTTTCTCAAAAATCAACAGTGACACTTATAATCCGGTGCACCTTATTTATTAATTCTGGTTGTGCTTACTGACCTCGAACTGATTTCATGTGGTACAACCGAACAATGCAAAGAGTTACCGTGTATGAGTTGAATCTGACTCTTTTGTTTCGCTTAATGCGCCTTATAATCCAATGCTCCTTATGCATGAAAACAGACGCGTTTGTTGATATTGCACCTTATAGTCCGAAAAATACGGTACAAGCATAGAGCATGTATATTATGTAAAGCTTTAAAGTACAATGATATAAAGTATCAGGACATGAGTGTTTCATTTTCTTTTGCCAACCTTTTATCCTGTTTAATAGCTAAAAATGGCTGTTTATATTTTTCTGACCAATCTGATTCTTCAATGTAGGAGTTCAATGTCGTCATGGTTGATTCAGTCAACGATGTTCGTATTGTGGGTGTGATCACTATAACCATTCTTCTGCTCATTTCACTGGCTGGAATGGAGTGGGAGTCCAAGGTAAGCACATTTAAAGCACATTTCATAACATATGGTAAAGCAGAAAAATAAATGTCCTTGTATCTTATCAATTAACACTACATTTTTGTAGACCATTTGGCAGTGTTGACGAAAATCTTTCTTACTAACATTTTTTTTTACTCAAATGGACAACACTCAGCGGCAGGAGATTCTTAAATGGCATTTTACTTGCAAGGGCTGATTTCAGAACAAGTTACATACAGAGATACATAAATGCATATGCATGAGAACCTTGTCACAGAAATGAGCCTCCAATAGAATCATCTGCAGATATGTATACAGCAGTGCAGTTCAGTGGACATTCCCTCATAGCCAGCCACAGTCAGCCACGCAGACACGATCTATGGCCATTGGCAAGTCAGCCTCCAGATGCAGATAAGAGAATGTTTTGGGCATGTTCTCATGAGGATGACTCCAAAGAGGCACTGGGAGTCCACGAGCCAGGCTCCAGGTTGAGATAAGAGATTGTTTTGGTAGACAGCAGGTTCTCAGGGCACAGGGAAATATGTTTCTCACCCACAATATAAAAAAATTAACTTTGATTTAATTTTACCATGCTGTATTATGCATTTATACCAATTATTTCTATTGTGCCTTATTTTGTATTCCTGACAAATATTTTATTACTTTTGTGATGGTTTTTGTTTCAGACCCAGATTTTGTTCTTTCTTGTTCTTTTGATCTCTTTTGCAAACTACTTTGTGGGTACACTAATTCCCCCGAACACTGATAAACAGGCTGTTGGCGTCTTTGGATACAGAGGTAAAGTTCTGCTTTTGACTTAACATTTAGAAAATGCTATTTTTTTTTTTATTATACCAAAAAGTATGTATGCTTTAAGTTTTATTTGAAAGTGAATTCTGTACCTGTGTAATTACTCAACAAATAACCATCTGAGCAGCATGACAATATTGAGTTAGTCAGCTGCTTTTTGTGTACATTTTAAAATATGAAATTCTGTCAATAACAATTTAAGATTCATGTGGAATTTGCTGACAAAAAAGAAAACAACACTAAAACTTAAAATTGTTATCTTTAAACATACTACTGTATCCTTACATATGAAGTAAAACTGAAAAATGTGGGATCGAGATTGAACCAATCTAGTCGTCCTGCATCTGACCACAAACCTAAGTGTCACGTTCAGATGTTTAATGTTTGAGATGACATCTTTGGCATCTGTTTTGCGTGTTAGTTCTTTAAACCTGACCACGCATAGATGCAACTAATGAAAAATAAAATATAGTGAAAAAGTTAAATATTTTTAGTCACTCACTTCAGAAAGTGAAACTGATTTGTTTCACATAGAGTGAACTATTGCAGGCCAATATTTATTGTAATGTTGACAATAATTCCTTACATATAATGAAAACCCAAAACTTTGTCTCAAAAATTTGAATATTGTGATAAAGTTCCATGACTTTAAGTCTGCTAACAAAATTCACAAACTTGTTCCTGTCTGTTTTGCTTTTGTATCGAAGAGACCATTAAGCACAATATTGGCTTGCTACATGTGACAAGACGTGATTGGTCAATACAGCCGCGGCAAGCTTAACACACACCATTAGCTTAGTATGTGTACACATGACAAGACGTGATTGGTCGATAAAGCTTCAACTGGAAGGAGACGAAGACATGCAGCAAAGACTGACAGTCATCTTAGCGGTTTAGTGTTAGCGTCTACCAATTTTTTTTACTTGTTTAGTGGTTTAGCATTAGCGAAGAAATTTTTTTAGTTAGCGGAATATGTGTTAGCAAAGCTAACTTTCTGGTTAACTGTGCCCACCACTGCAGTTCACAGCAGTTGGTATAGGAAAAAGAAATAGTTGTGTTTTGCCAAAAATAAAAAAATCAATCACAACTCTTATAAATGTTTTGGCTGACCAGCTCATTCTCTATAAATCCATTTTTCTTCATGATAAGTCAAGTCCATTTTGGCCTCCTCTGCAGGTGATATATTTGTAGAAAACCTAATACCAAACTGGAGAGGATCCCAAGGAAGTTTTTTCCAAATGTTTGCCATTTTCTTTCCTGCTCCTATCGGCATTCTATCTGGAGCCAACATATCTGGAGATCTTAAAGTATGAAATTCATCAAAGAATAAAACTACTCACAAGATTCAGGTTTAGGAGGTTGTAAAACTGACCTGTATACCATTATTTCCTTTGTAGGACCCTGGTACTGCTATACCCAAAGGCACCCTGATGGCCATTTTCTGGACAACACTCAGCTACCTGGGGGTAGCAGTAACTGTTGGTATGTATTCCGTGAATACAGCGAAAAAAGAAGAAAAAAAACTATGAAAGATATCCACAAATTAAATATGTTCTTGAGTAGGATGGTGAAAAAAGTTAAATGCTTAAGTATTATAGAATTACCTGTCTCAAGCTCTTCTCAAGTGCAAGTAAACAAGAGTAAGACAAACTAAAGAGCATAGGGCTTAATTTTGATTAACTCATTTAAAGTGGGATTATGTGGAAAAGTTATAAGCAGACAATATGGTATGTATTTGTTTCTTAAATTATCCAAGATTGAAGAATTGTAACATAAAAGAAATGTACCAAAATGTACTGTATTTCTGATTACCAGTAGATTTAAAGGTTAATGATTAGCAGGGCCAAGAATGACATGGATTTCTGCTGCATCAAATCAAGATCAAACATTTCATAGCAGTTTATGCAAACATTATTTTAATACCACCACAAAAGGCTGTGATTATTTGCAAACACAAAAAGCAGGCCATATTTGTAGCAACTTCTAGTGTAGCCAAGGGTTCTTAGTGCAAGAAAATCCAAATATTTTTTGTAAAATAACTGAAATGTGAAAATAATGATTATGTAAAGTTTTAACAAAAAATGTTAAAATGTGATTTTTTAATTTTGTTTTTATCTTTGTGTAGTTTGAAGACAGTAGACGTTTGCTTTGATCTTGGCCTCACTGAAAAATCATTAGAAATTAATCGTTTTTTTCCTCAAAACTCAGATTAGAGGTTTCTGTAATAAGTGAGATAACGCTGTATAAAAAACAAAAACACTTAAAAAGATCCTAACAATCATTTTGTGAAAAAATACATGAGATAAACAAGCTGCTGTTATATCTGTACCTTTTCTGTTCCTTGAGTTTTCTTTTGTCTCTGAATTCCTTGTGATTTGTATTCTGTTTTCTATTCCTTGTGATTTGTATTCTTTCTATTCCTTGTGATTTGTATTCTGTTTTCTATTCCTTGTGATTTGTATTCTGTTTTCTATTCCTTGTGATTTGTATTCTGTTTTCTATTCCTTGTGATTTGTACTCTGTTTTCTATTCTTGTGATTTGTACTCTTTTTTTTATTCCTTGTGATTTGTATTCTGTTTTCTATTCCTTGTGATTTGTAATCTGTTTTCTATTCCTACTCTGTATCCCTGTGTTTTTGTGCAAATCTTCACTCTCCCCTCAGTCAACCTCTCCAGCAACTTATCACTCACACCCGTTTTAATTAATCATCCCAGGTGTTTTCATTTCCGACTCTCCCTCAGTTCTACTTAAACCACTCCTGATCACCATTCCACTTCGACTCATTGTTCTGTACTGTAGTCAGATGTCTTGTTCCTGCCTGTGTTTCATTGTGCCTCCCTGTATTTACCCTCCAGAAGTTTATAGAAGTTTGTTGCTGCCTCGTCAGCCTTTTTGTTTTGATTATTTAATGAATAAGTTTAAGTTGAAATCAAGTTCCTCGTGTCTGCCTGCATCCGGGGTCTCACTCCTACAGCGACCGCGATAGTTGTTTGTTTCCTCTGCTTAACCAGGAGTCTTCATTTCCTTCCAGGATCATGTGTAGTACGGGATGCTTCTGGGAATACAAGTGACATCCTGACTGGAAACAACACTGATGGTTGTGTGGGACTGGCATGTAGTATGGGCTGGAACTTCACAAACTGCATCCAGTCCCAGTCCTGTAAATATGGGCTAGCCAACAGTGCGAAAGTAAGAATCTGTTGTCTTTCAACTGTCATTTTGCAAGATCATAATTTTGAGTTTTCATAAACGTTGTTATTGATTGATCATCACATTGATCAAACTCTTACGTCCGTATGCTCTTTGTGGACTTCACATCCGCCTTCA